AACATGCAAGTACAGTACGCTACTTCTAATTATCTTTATATCTATATTTGTATAACGGACTAAGCCCATATTTGACTATCATTTTTTGGGTAAAATAAAGTTTTGAACAGTGATTTTTTTGAAGAATATGTGGTTAAAAATAGAAAAAAAAAAATAGCATATATGAAGCTATAGTTGTTTATTGGGTGATCTAGTCTTCAGTACTTTTCTCTTTCGTGCCTTTTGAGGTATACAAATTAATTCAGAAAATATATACAGATAGGGTCGGACCATGATAGTATTCTAATCCACCTCACCTCTGCTTGGACTTTAAAAATTCAATTGTCGTTTTCTTGTGTTGGTTCATGAGTCCAATCCAAAGGATTTGGTGAATTTCACTTAATTCACGAGTCCACACCAATTGAGAGGTAAAACATGTGCAGTGTAATAATTAGAGTGAAGTTTGATGCAAAATTTAATTATAGTAAAATAAACAATTCATGAGTCCACACCAACTGAGAGGCAAAACATGTGACGTGTATGTACTTAAGAGTGAAATTTTGTGCTTGGTTGAACCCTGCAAAAATAGTTAAATATTAGTTTGACCTTTTTACTCCCAATACACAATCATGTTCTTTGAGATCCGTTTGATTGTAAATTTTTTCATGGAAAATGTCACATTCGAGGACAACGAATTTCACTTTGATCGTTTGATTGCAACGTGAAAATAAAAACTGAATTTCAAAGTACAACCACTTTAAATTGTATTTTCCTTGTTTTTATAGGAAATGAATTTCTATGAGTTTGGTGGATTTTTATTTTTCAACTAACATAGAATTACAATTATTTTCCACATTTTCCTACCAAACGGGCCTTAAGAAAATTTGGCGAAGAAATCTCAAAATAAAAAATCAATTATTTTTAGCCTTTAATAAAGAAAGAAAAGAAGCTTAGCGAAACTAGGTGATAACTTTGTCATGTCACATTGCATATGATGATGTGGCCTTTGAAAAATTTTGCGCTTTCCTTTACTAGTTGGGGGAAAAAAGAGAGAATATAATATTTTGAACCTCATTTTTTAAAAGAATATTTTATAACGTCATTTTTTTAAGAGGGTGTAATTAAAAATAAAAATTAAATTGAATTTATGGGTAGAGTTATTTTATTTGGGAGAAGAGAAATGCTGCAGTGCTAGGGAGGGTGTCACTGACACCCTCCCTAACAGGATTGACACATTGGGAGGGGGTGGGGCCTTTTTTTTCATTTTTTATTACNGGCTCCCATGTCGGCCCCACCCTCTTGTGAGTGTCGGTCACTCAAATGGTTGCACCTCTTCTAGCACACCAGCAAAATTCTTGGGGGAAGAGAAATGCTGCAATGCCAGGGAGGGTGTCTGATAGGACAGACACATTAGGAGGGGAGGGGCCTTTTTTTCATTTTAGTACACATGGGTTTCACATCGGTCCCACTTTCTTGTGAGGGTCGGTCACCCAGGTGGGTGCACCTTTTCTGGTACACTAGCAAAATTCTTGGGGGAAGAGAAAGGCTCCAGTGCTAGGGAGAGTGTGACACCCTCCCTGACTAGACAGACACATTAGGAGGGGTGGGGCCTTTTTTTCGTTTTTTATTACACATGGGTCCTACATCGGTCTCACCCTCTTGTGAGGGTCGGTCACCCAGGTGGGTGCACCTCTTCTGGCACACCAGCAAAATTCTTGAGGAAAGAGAAAGGCTGCAGTGCCAGGGTGTATGACACCTTCCCTGACAGGACAGACACATTGGGAGGGGGTGGGACCTTTTTTTTCATTTTTTATTACACGGGGTCCCACGTCGATCTCCCCCTCTTGTGAGGGTCGATCACCTAGGTGGGTGCACCTCTTCGGCACACCAGCAAAATTCTTGGGAGAAGAGAATTGTTGTAGTGCTAGGGAGGGTGTGCCACCTTCCCTGACGGGACAGACACATTTGGGAGGGGATTTGGCTATTTTTTTTTCATTTTTTATTACACATGGATCCCACGTCGATCCCACCCTCTTATGAGGGTTGGTTACCTAGGTGGGTGCACCTCTTCTGGCACACCAGCAAAATTCTTGGGGGAATAGAAATGTTGCAGTGCCAGGGAAGGTGTCACCCTCTCTGACAGTACAGACACATTGGGAGGGGTGGGGCCTTTTTTTTTCATTTTTTATTACACATGGCTCCCATGTCGGCCCCACCCTCTTGTGAGGGTCGGTCACTCAAATGGGTGCACCTCTTCTAGCACACCAGCAAAATTCTTGGGGGAATAGGTGATTAAAAATAAATTTTTAAGGAATAAATAAATTACCAACGGCCAGGAATTCATAGTGGGGGGAAGTTGTGGGGTATAATTGTCTGATTGTGCATTGGATTGACAAGACATTATTGCTTGATAGACGGATTTCTGCCCCCCTAAAATTCCTATTTATTTTATCTATGACTATAGGGTTAGAATAATTGAATTGATTGGCATGACCGATTTAATTTAAGATAAGGTTCATTAAGTAAATTGACAAGTTCCAATGACCGGACAACCTCTACGTGCTCTCACACGCCTTCTTCCTTTGACCCCCAGAAATTTCTCTATTCAACTTTCTTTAAGGCCTCGTTTGATGGACATTAAATTCCATAGAACTAGTAATTTCTTTTCCATTTTTCACTTACTGTCATGTTTGATGAGCCAAAAGTTGATAGAAATTTCTTTTCTTGCTCCTTGCTCTCGCGCCTGATTTTCCTATTTTTTGGGGAAAATAATTCCGTGGGAATTGATTTTCCAGTTGAGTGTCTTTTTTTATTATTATTATTACAATAGAAACAAATTTCATAACCAATTATAAAAAAAATTCACTTTAATGGACAATTTTCATATAAAATAAAGTCAAACGAACTAAATTTTGATTAAAAAAATGATTTTTTTAGGATTTTTTTTTGTTTTTTACTTTTTGGCAATGGAAACAAATTTTATAACCAATTGTGGAAAAATTATCACTTTAATGGACAATTTTCATGTAAAATAAAGTCAAACAAACACAAAATTTTAAAATTTTCGGATAGAAAATGATACCAATCAAACATATTTAATTGACAATTCCCTACAAAACAATTTCTAGGCAATTATTTTATCAGAAATTCATTTTCTTTCCACCCATTTTTCTACCATTGCAATCAAACGAACCCTAACATAAATTTTGTCCTGACAATTTTTATTTCAAAATTTTTTAATTTTCATATTCATTTTTAATCATATATTTACATAATAAATATTTTACGCTTAAATTCAAAATTTTTGTTCACTGTTTCGGCCATCTCCAGCTCTGCACAAAAATTTGATGTAAGTTTTGCACAACAATAACAATTTATTGTATTACAAAAATGGACAAAAATACTCTTAACGAAATATTTGTGCAAAGTGAAAGAGAACGGCCACATAATATTTAACCATTTCGGTGCAACACTATTCATTTGCAGCACTTTGGTGCAAAAGGTTGGAGGAAATTCGCACTAAATATTCGGTGAATTATGGTGTAATGGTGCAACGTTGGAAATACTTTTAACCCAGATTTTTCAAAAAATCACTATTGAAAACATTATTGTTTCAAAATAATGACCATCAAATAAGTACTTAATTAGTCTAATATTGTAATTAGTGGGTAATTATAGGAAAATTTAGTTCATATTTTTGTATTAGAATAATGTTATTGAGTATAAGTTGTGCTTAATATCATTCTTAATAGCGAAGTAAAAGTGCATTTAAACTTCAACAAACAATGAAGAAATGACATCATTTTCACTTGCCAACTGCCACGACTTCCATATAACATTATTATTTTGTGTAAGTTGAAAAAACCATTTTGGTAATATGAAAAAGGCAATCTTTAAATAATACCACTTCTTCCTTTTAAAAAAAAAAAAAAATTGCAATTGTTTTTCAGGTACATCCTTTCTATTTTTTAAGATTCTCATTTTTCGCCATGTCTTGGTCAAATGGATTCATTAATGTACTAGAGGTCAAACGTTTGTGGTTTTGACCCTTGCCAGTACATGTAGCTTCACCAAAGTGATAATTGAAAATGGAGAAATTAATGAATATGTAAACTGTCTTCTTATTTCCATTTTTAATTGTTTTCATTTTTATTGCGTTTTTTTTTATATGTATTTAGGGGTGGGGTGGGGGGGGGGGGGGTACGGAAGCTT